TAGGGAAGGCTGAGTTGTACTGGTGCAGAACAGAAGATGTGGGAACCAGAAATGCCTATAAGCAGGCCAGATTCAGAGTGAGCTGACCAGGAGAACACAGGGCCCACGACGAAGGGAGGACCGTGGCAATAAAGGACTTGGAGGTCGAGGTAAAGCCTGGCCAGCCTCTCCCTCTCCTCACTCTTCAAATGCTGCTCTCAGGCTTGTGCTCGCCATGCTCTTTGCTCTCTCCACATCTTTTCCAGAATGCTTGTGCCCACTCTGATATCCAGTGGCCTACTGGACATCCCACTGGCATGGCACCAGTACCTCGACCCCAGCATATCCAAGACTCAGCCCCACCCCAAAACCAGGCTCAGGGGACTGGATCTCCTCTGCCCAGTCATCCAAGTCAGAAAGCGTACCCTTGCCCTCAACTCCACTATCCAATCAGTTGTTCCCAGCTCTTCCCTGAATGCCCACACCCACCCATCCTGACCATCCCCCTGCCGCTGCCCTTCTCTTTCTCACTAGAGCTCTTTCAGTTGTTTCTTAACTGGTCTCCTAGCCTTTGGCCTTATCATTTCTAATCCATCAGCTGCCAAAGAAATTTATCAATATTTCAGATGCAAATATGATCAAGACGCTCCCCTGATTACAATTCTTGCAATGGCTGCAGACAGGCCTTCCTTCACTGTCTTGACTCTCTCTCCCCAGCCCCACCTTGCTAAGTCCTGGTGCACAGTGCTTTAAGTGGGCTGGGCTGCTTGCAGATCCTACGACTCTGCAGAGGCTATCTGACGCCTCTGTGCACTTGCTCACACTGCTCCCTCTGCCTGGAACGCCCTTCCCCACGGCCTTGCAGGTCAGTGCACACACGTCTCCCGGACTCTGCTCGAGGCCAGCTTTCCTATGAAGCCTTTCCTCAGTCACCTCCACCACACTCTGCAGAGTTCACAGACCTCTAGCCTAATACGTAACCTACTGTTACACTTATTTGCTTACACGTCTACTTCCCTCCACTTGACCGTAAGGCAAATGAAGACAGGGACCACGTCTGCTAAGCCAAAGCACTTAACTCTGCATCTGGAACACAGCAGGTGCTCAACTGACTGCACGCTGAATAAATAATAAATAACAATGGTAACAGCGAACACTTCTTAAATGTCAGCATGGTACCAGCACTTTACCAGGACGTTTTTCAGACTTCTGATTTTATCCCTCCAACCACTAGTAAGAGATCTATCATCTCCATGACTGAATGGCGGAGAATCAGCTGAGCGGACGCGGGAAGTCGCTTATGGTTCAGTCGTTTCAATCAGCGGGGTGATCCTGATGCCCAAACAGGAGAGGCTGCGGTTGCTTCAGAGACCCAGTGGAGGCAAAAGGAAACATCTAAGGCTTTGCATTAGTGAGATGAGAAGGGAAGTTAAAAGGAAAGAAATGTCAGCTCCAGATATCAGATCTACGGGAATGCCTGCCGACTGATCAGGAGGGAGTGAGAAGAAGGGCCTATGTGGAAGGGATCCTCCAGCCTCTAAACCAGAGCCGATTAGCGTGAGATTGCATTACGACCAATGGCAATGACGCACACAGTTTATAACCTAAATTACTTCACACTAGAGCAGGCTTCGATCGTGCCCTTGAACTGGCTCTGTGTGCTAGACTATAGGGGGTGGGGTGGGGAAAATATAGGGGCCAGGGACATGTCTTTGTGGGAAGAGTTCCAGCAATGTGATGAGTGACTGGCAGAGGCTCCTCCAGGCCGTTGCAGTGGTGGCAGTTATTGTTCTTGGCTGGAGAAGGGTTTTCTCATAGCCCCCCATCTGAGGGTTCTGGTCTTCAGCTGGGATTTTATAATGATGAGAGGGTACCGTGGATTAAATGAGAAAACCATTTTTTAGATCACAGGTTAAACTTTTCCAGATGTGAGAGGTGGGCATCCTCTTCCCAGCTCACCCAATACGGGCTTAGTAATGAAAGCAAAGGGCTCTGAGAGAATGTGAGGCGGATGCCGGGACTAGGTAAGTAAGTGGACCCCTGACTCACTTTAACATTAGCTCCATCAGATCCCTGTGCGTCGCACTGGAGGTTCTTGGCCACGGCCAATTTTTATAGAGACGCTGTTTCTACCCGGGGTTACGGGGAGTGTCACAGTGTGATTTATCAGCAATGCTTTCAACACGCGCTAAGGAGCACCCAGAGAGTGGAGGGGTGTCAGCTCCTGGCCCACCCGCCGCCCCGCACATGTCAATGCCTCCTGGGAGAGGCCACGCGAGCCTTTCCTGACAAGCTGGGAACTGAAGCTTAGGCCACAAGCCACTCCATAACTGTTGCTCCTTAGGGGTTCGTTTGTGAGGGAAAGCCTTAATTGAATACAAATTGGGAGAGATCTGGGGAAGACAGAAACTTGGAGCCCTAAATCACCCTTTGGGACTTGGATGAGAACAACCTAAATTCAGTAGCTGGGACTGGGCCCATCTTCCTGAGGCCCTCGCCTGCGAAGTCTGCCAAAATGCTTGTTTGATACTTGGTCAGAGGAGGTACTGACCCTCCACGGTGTCCGGTCTCCAGAGAAACAGTGCTATAGCCAGATGCTGACTGTCAAGGGACCAAACCATTTCCCCTCTTTAAAACAAGCCAGAAATGGCCACACAGGAGGACGTGGCAGGAAGACACGCAGCGCAGTGTTCACTCCACCTACTTGGCAATGGACTGGCTCCCTGACTTGCTCTTCCCGATTTCTAGTACCTTCCCTGGGCTCACGCATGTCCACAAGTGGATATATTCCAGCAGCCACAGTAACGAGTGCTATGAGGAAGGAGTAAGACAAGGCTCAAAAGAAACAACTCATGGTTCCTACCCTTAAAAAGCTTATCATCTAGCTGGAGAGACAAAATACATACATGAAATGTTGAAAAATAATTTTCATTACCCAAACCTGGGGGAAGGCAGGGGTGTCATTATGTCCACGTAATTCAAATGACAGGAGCTCCCCACTCACTTCTGTCTGTCTTGATGAGGATGACTGCATGGCTGCTACCGTTATTTATTTATTTATTTATTTATTTTATTTTTTTTTTTTGCGGTATACGGGCCTCTCACTGTTGTGGCCTCTCCCGCTGCGGAGCACAGGCTCCGGACGCACAGGCTCAGCGGCCATGGCTCACGGGCCCAGCCGCTCCGCAGCATGTGGGATCTTCCCGGACAGGGGCATGAACCCGTGTCCCCTGCACTGGCAGGAGGACTCTCAACCACTGCGCCACCAGGGAAGCCCCTGCTACCGTTATTTATGACTTTAAGTAGCAAATTTAGTTTATTATGCTTCTCTGGGGTACAAAAAAAATTAGTTGGACGGTGGGGACACCTGGATTGGGCGCATGCTGGTGGTCAGCATGGCATTCAGAACAACCCAGTGATGAGGATGTTCCAGGACTTACTTTGCAAATTTAATGCAGAACTGTGTGAAATATTTCCGCGTGGAAGCCAGGTTGTCACGGATGATGGGGACGTTCTGTTTAATGTGAAGAATGACAGAGGTGACGTAGGGGCTCTGGTCACCAACATGCTCCACATTCTGCCACTGCATCTGAAAATGGAGACAGGGCAGGACAAGCCTTTAGATCCTCTCCTGGAGGACAGACTTACCTGTTAGCAACGAAGGGGCAGGGGTGGTGGAAATGAGCCCGTGACTTGCTGTCACAGAGGCTGATTTGTCTTGGGGGGATTTGTCTCTCCCTGTCTATAGGAGCTAATCATGAAGAGAAACAAGTAAGCCCACCTTCTCCCTGATAGTGAAGTGTGCATCAGGTACCTTTTCTTACCCTGTCCCTCTCAGGCTTGAAACAGCCTTCCCTCCTCATCTAAGTGCCATCTTCTTTCTAAACGAACCCTCACCAGGCAGATGAACTGGACCGTATTCTTCTATGAGCTGCTCCACCTGAAAGGGGCTATGGGTGGACAGGGGAGGGACGTCTACTTCTGACCAGGCTGGCAGCTTGGGAAACCCAAGAGGTGGCTGGGCCACACGAAAGGAAACCTAGAATGCCCTTCTCTCAGGTACACGGGGAGGAGCTGGGGATTTTTTTTTTTTTTTTTTTTTTCGCCGTACCCTGCAGCATGTGGGACTTTAGTTCCTCCACCAGGGATTGACCCCGCATCCCCTGCATTGGAAGGCTGAGTCTTAACCACTGGACCGGCGGGGGAGACCCGAATTGGAGGTTTTTTTTTTTTTTTCGCCGTACCCTGCAGCATGTGGGACTTTAGTTCCTCCACCAGGGATTGACCCCGCATCCCCTGCATTGGAAGGCTGAGTCTTAACCACTGGACCGGCGGGGGAGACCCGAATTGGAGGTTTTTTTTTTTTTTTTTTTTTTTTTAACAGGAAACTAGAAACGATATGACGTGTGAGACTTACTTCAAAATAATCTAGTGCTGGGAGGAGTAGATAAAACAAGATTAGTGAAGCTGGGTGATGGGTACATGAGGTTCCTTATACGGTTTTCTCTATTTTTTTTAAAGTATAGTTGCTGTACAATATTACGTAAGTTACAGGTGTACCATATAGCAACTCACAACTTTTATAAGTTGAGGTATAGTTGATTTACAATGTTGTGTTGGTTTCTGAGTGATTCACAGTTTTGAAAGGTGATGCTCCATTTATAGTTATTATAAAATATTGGCTATATCCCCTGTGTTGTACATTATATCCTTGTAGCCTATTTTCTCTGCTTCTTGGTAGCTTATTTCTTCTACTTTTCTGTTTTCTCTACTTTTGTATATAATTGAAAATTTCCATAATCAAACATTAGACTCTTACTCCTAGAGCCTTTGGGGTTATGTGGGGTTTCAATCAAGGGGAAGGAAAGAGGATCTCTGGCAAACACGAGGGGCAGGTCAGAGGTTAAGACAGTGCCATGGGGAACGGGGCAGGGACTGTGTGAATGGCAGGTGCGGGGGAGATGGGCATCACTGAGAAGCCCTGTGTGACCCCTGACCAGGTCATGAACAAAAACGAGAGAGCTGCTGGGCTTAAGTTCTCACAACTTGAGGAGAACTAGGGAAAGCGCTCTGAAAGCACGTACAGTAAAAGGGAGATACTGCTTCTGCCTTGGATACACATGGGAGAAGGGAGGTCTCACCAGCTCCCAGCCTGCCCCGCGCTGGGGCTCTGCTGAGTCAGCCTCTCAGAACGGAGCTGGGCTGTCTGATAAAAAGACCCTAAGCCGAACACAAACCACGTAACACGTTCACAGAACGAGGGCAGTAGTTCTGAGACCTTGATGTCTCTGGCAAGAAAATACTATTTTTATAGAGCTCTTGGGGAAAGGAAAAATTCAATCCTGAGAGAACTTGTTTAAAAGAATCATATTGTACATGGATGATCCCTCAGCTCCTGGGAAGCTCAAATGACTCTATGTTTTACCCTAATGTTTCTTCAAGTCAGCAGATATTTATATCCTGAAAGCTTTCAGTCTGTGCAAGCACAGAACCATGGCAAAGCAGGAAGGCACCTCCGTCTTCATTTTACAGATAAGAAAACCAAGGCCCAGGCACATGAAGTCTTACGCAAGCTTTCATAGTAGGCTCCAGAAAGAAAAGGGTCTCTAGTTCTTTTACTGGGAAAAAAATAAAAATGAAGAACAGAGAGATGGTAGAAAAGTCTAATATGAACTGACTTGATATTCTAATTCTTTGGCTATGTGTAATGTTTTCCTGTTTTTCTTCTATTTTATTCAAGAGGCTTCTTTTCCCATCTGATTTTAGAGATGTGCCCCATCCAAACAAGGAACATCCTAGGGGGTTTTAAATGAGCGCACAGGGTTGAGGTCAGAATTGGCAGGTGCTGTTAGCACCTACGCTTCATCTGCTCCCAGCTTGGCAGCGGCTCCGGAGCAGCAGGCGCCGGGACGGCACAGTCAACTGGGTGGAGAGCGGGACCCCTCCACCCGACGCAAAGCTCGTCCATAGTAATGACCACTGTTTTCCAAGTCGGCAGCAGTTTATGTTTCAACAGCTCAAAAAGTTCATAAACAATTATCTACGCACAACGGTTCTCCATCGACAGAAGACGACCACAGAGGGAGGTGGTGACATGTCCTGTCATCGGTTCCAAAGCAGCTCCGGGGCGTGAGAGTTCAAGTTCCCGCTGGAGAGCTATCTCCTCTTGATCACCACTGGCCACGTCAGCACGTGCCCACATTGGGAAAAGATTGGATTTGCCTTAATACTTAAGGCAGTTAGGACTCCACCGGTCAAGTTAAGGGAAGTATTGGCAAAAGTCAAGTTGATTCGCAAGTTTAAATTTAAGTCAGCTTTATGAAGTAAGAAAAGAATTTAAAGTACTGGAAAACAATGAAAGTTGACATTGCTTGGACTATTTTCTAAAAAATGAACAAAACATAGTCAGCGGTGATGCTGTCCAGCCACTGCCTAGGATGGATGCTTTGCCATCACCCATCCCAATGACTTAGGGTTTGGGTTGTAACTTGAATGACCCACTATACCTACATCAGGGCCCACTGTGTGCAGGTCGCTTGGCCTGGCACTTTGCAAACATCATCTCATTACTATTCAGACATGATCTTCCTCAAAGAGGTCTTATTGACGAGGAGACTCAGAAAACTCAAAGAGGAGAGGTCACCTGCCCAAAGTCACACAGCTAGTCAACAGCAGAGTGGAGGCAGCCCAGGTCCATCTAAAGCCCAAGCACTATACGAGGCCACTTCCTAGACACTTGTTAAAAAGTGATTTAAAACAAAGAAAACAAAGAAAAAGAAAAAAGCACTCAACTGGCCCTAGTTCAAGGGGAGCCTAGTTTCTCACGGAGAAGCTAATGAAATACACGGGGATCAAGCAAAGTTCTCTTTCAAAAAGGGACACAAACAGTAGCTTGCACTGGAAGAACAAACATCCTGAAAAGCCATCAGCCGAAATAAGAAGACTCCAACTTTTTCAGATGAACTTTGCATCTGACCTTTAAAATTTACCCCTCCATACTTCAAGTTTTTCCTTCTGCACTTTTTGTTTAGAAGGTGGGGTGGGGTTGAATACCACTGGCGCTATATAAACAAGAAAAACAGTTTGCAAAAGAAGTGGTAACTAAGATGTAGGGGTGACAGAAACAGCAAGCAAGGAAAGGATCAAGATGACAATGCCAGAGCCTGTGGGACCCCACACTTGGCCTCAGGGAGAGGTTGTAAGGCCCGGGGTGTCACCAGCGCCCGTGGTTTCTGCCACCTCGTGAGGAGTGTGTGGCTGCACCTCACAGGGAGGGTCGGGGAGATGCTCATTCTTCCTGGCGAGAACCCACAGGAGCAGAGAATTCTGACCCATCCACTGATCAGAGGACAGGGCTCCACACTAGTTTACTATGGAACTTGTGTTTCTCCATGGCTGTGTAAAACTTACAAAGGGGTCTCCTAAGAAACTGATTTTCCTTAAGTGAGAATTCAAATTTTCAAGTACTCATCTTGATTACGGGACTAGAGCCGTACAGAGCACGGATTCAGACATGTGGAGTCTGGGAACACTGCAGGTAATCAGAGTCCAGGGCTACAGTTTAGGCTGCTGGGCCATTGGCCCCAGGCATGCACACACGTACACGCGCACACTCTCATGTCTGTCGGGGCCACTTTTACTCATAGAACAAGCGTGTGCTATGTTTCTAGGCACCTTCCCCATGTGCAGCACTGAACCAAGTACTGTGGGGGGAATAAAAAAGAGGAGGGAACATCTATCAAGCACCTACTGTGCACCAAGCACGATGACTGACATTTTCCTGTGAACCTACTGCTTATGATTATGCAGTGAAGAAGGTATTCTTACTCCTGCTTTATAGATGATAAGACAGGCTTGCGGACAATAAGGGGATGGTCTAATGAAGCATAACTGGCAAGTCCGAATGGCTGAGATCTAGATATTGGTCTGACTAACTCCAAAGTCCATGTTCTTTCCACTTTACCACGTTGCTTTCAAAAAGAAGTGTTACCACCTGAAATGAACTTGAAATTCGCTGAGGGATCTGGGGGGGCAAGCAAAATCTACGTACAGAATGAGCTTGTCCACAGTAGATGATGTAGTGGTGGTGATGGTGGTGCAGAGGGGGAGGAAAGGATGACTCTCCTCACCTCTTTGCTCAGGGATATACGGTCCTTAACTCCAGGAGGAAAACCAAGAAGACCCAGGATAGAAAGTGGAGCAAAAAAGGCTCTAAGAAGATATATAGATATAGGGACTTCCCTGGTGGTCCAGTGGGTAAGACTGCACGCTCCCAATGCAGGGGGCCCAGATCTGATCCCTGATAGGGGAACTAGACCCCGCATGCATGCCGCAACTAAGAGTTTGCAGGCCGCAACAAAGATCCCACGTGCCACAACTAAGACCCGGAGCAGCCAAAATAACAAAATAAATAAATATTAAAAGAAGATAATATAGGTGTAGATTTTTTTTTCCCATTCACTGCTGGGCCAATGGGAAGGTGAATTTGTATAACTTTTCTTTTTTTTAAAAAAATAAATTTATTTATTTTTATTTATTTTATTTTTGGCTGCATTAGGTCTTCCTTGCTGCACGCGGGTTTTCTCTGGT